GCAAAGGCTGCGCCGAATTCCAGCATGCTCCATACCGACGTCCTGCATCCCCCCCACCTCCCTCCTCCTGCATTACTCTTCCTTATAAACAACTTCTCCCTGTCACCCCCCGAAGCCAATCGGAATGGCGGGCCCGGCGCTGACTTCCTTACCATTTATGATCCTGACGTAAAGAAATCCGGAACAGCTTCACAAATTGAGGGCGGGTGGTTTTCAAACTGTACCTCCGGCCTTAGCGCCGCGCACAGTCGTCTTAGAATTGAAGCGAGTGGTCTTCAAAATGTGGCTGTTGGCGTAGCGCCGCGCACATTCGTTTTTAGAAAATTGTACGCGTTTCACGGATTGAGGGCGGGTCCTTTTGAAAATGTGGCTCTCGCCTTAGCGACGCGCACAGTCGCTGAAAAAATGTGCACGAGCTTCGCGGATTGAGGGCGGCTCTTTTTCAAAGTGTGGCTCTCACCTTAGCGCCGAGCAATTTTGGTTCCAGCCATCCTGTGGTGCTGGGTCTTCGCTTTGACGAGACAGCGCCCCCCGTCACTCACCCCTTCCTTCCTTCCTTCCTTCCTTCCTTCCTCCTCCCCCCTCCTCCCTCCTGCCTCCTCCCCCTCCTTGCTTTTGCCCTCATCAGTATGCGGCTCCTCCAGACTAAGAGAGAGAGAGAGAGAGAGAGAGAGAGAGAAAAAAAAAAAAAAAAAAAAAACAAAAAAAAAAAAACTAGCATCATCATCCGAACTCCCCTTTCCTCCACCCCCACCCTTCGGTCCTCGAAAACACATCCTCCTCTCTCCTCCTCCGCCTCCTTTTCCTCCTCCTCCTGAAACAGCCGAGGGGTCAGGACAATGCCGCGCACCCTCTGAACCTCGCTTGGACGGCGGCGAAGAAGTTCCGTCCCTCCCTCCCTCCATCCCTCCCTCCCTCCCTCCCTCCCTCCCTCCTCCTCCTCCTCTTCCATTCCTTTTCCTTATAGACAACACCTCCCTGTCGCACGCCGAGGCCAGCTTTTAGGGCGGACCGGGCGTTTCGCCTGAGACTTCCTCACCATGTATGACTCTGAAGCTTAAAAAGTGACAACAGCTTCACAGATGAAGGGCGGGTCGTTTTCGAAATGTGGCTCTCGCCTTAGCGCGGCGCACCTTCGTTCCAAAAAGTTGCAAGAGCTTCACGGATTGTGGGCGGGTGGTTTTCAAAATGTGCCTCTCGCCTTGGCGCCGCGCACACTCGTTATAAACAATTGCAAGAGTTTCACGGATTGATGGCGGCTCCTTTTAAAAATGTGGCTCTGGCCTAGCGCCGCGCACATTCGTATTCAAACTTTGCAAGAGTTTCACGGGATCCCATGATCAACGTACCAGGAATGGTGTTTTGGAAGGATTCAGGATTACGCGGGTGCAACAGTTGTGCTGATTCACTGTGTTAAATCCCACAAATGGAGCTCTGGCACGATTCCGGATGGTCAAGACGCAGCAGTCAGGTTGATACGTGGCGTTGGAATCCCGAGGACAGTGTTCTGGCATACTTCAGGACATTCAAACGGTTGTCTTCCAACGAGGCAGTTCCTTCAATGGAAATGAACCGTTGTCGGGGCCTATGAAGAGGGAGCTTGGAGGGAGGGTTAATTCCAACATCGTTGATGACTCTTGGTTTTGGTCCTCCTCCTCCTCTTCCTCCTCGTCCTCCTCCTCCTCCCTCCTCCTCCTCCTCCTCCTCCTCCTCCTCCTCCTCCTCCTCCTCCTCCTCCCTGCCTCCTCCACCCTCCCTCCCCCCTCCCTCCCTCCTCTCCCTCCCTCCCTCCCTCCCCAGACACCCGACGTGATTTTTTCACAACGTCGACCCCCAGAGGTCTCGACCCATTCCCCGGCCCCGGCTCTTCCTCCCGGCACGGCCGCCCAGGAGCCGAGCGAGGAGGGCCCAAGGGGCCGAGAGTAGCCAGAAGCCTCCCGTCGTGATTTGCTTCGCGACGCGAGGGGGTTTGGGCGCCCCCTCCCCACCCCTCGGGCCCACAGGGCGTACAAAAAAAACGGGCGCGGCTCAGTCGAGCGCGTCCAGCGCCACGGCGACCGCGGCCGGCGCGGCCTCGCGCGCCGCCTCGGGAAGGGGCGAGCGGAAGGAGGAGGAGGAGGAGGAGGAGGAGGAGGAAAGGGAGGAGGAGGAGGAAACGAAGATTGGAGAGAAGGAGGGAGGGAAAGGAAAAGGCAGAAAAAGGGGAAAAGGGGAAAAAGGAGCAAAAGGAAAGGGGAAAGGGGAAAAGGGAAAGGCAAAGGGGAAAGGGGAACGGGGAAACGGGAAACGAGAAAAAGGGAAAGGGAAAGAGAAAGGGCAAGGGCAAGGGCAAGGGCAAGGGCAAGGGCAAGGGCAAGGGAAAAGGAAAGGGAAAGGGAAAGGGAAAGGAACAGGGGACAGGGGACAGGGGACAGGGGACAGGGAAAGAGAAAGGGATACAGGACAGGGGACAGGGGACAGGGGACAGGGAACAAGGGACAGGGGAAAAAGGAAAGGGAAAAAGGGAAAGAAGAAACGGGAAACGGGACAGGGCACAGGGGAAAAGGAAAGGGGACAAGACAGGGGAAAAGGGAAAAAGGGAAAGGGGAAAAGAGAAAGGGAAAACGGGAAAGGGGAAACGGGAAGGAAAAGGGGAATAAAAAAGGAAAGGAAAAGGGAAAGGGAAAGGGAAAGAGAAGGAGAAAGGGAAAGGGAAAGGGAAAGGGAAAGGGAAAGGGAAAGGGAAAGGGAAAGGGAAAGGGAAAGGGAAAGGGAAAGGGAAAGGGAAAGGGAAAGGGATAGGAAAGGGAAAGGGAAAGGGAAAGGGAAAGGGAAAGGGAAAGGGAAAGGGAAAGGGAAAGGGAAAGGGAAAGGGAAAGGGAAAGGAGGAAAGGGAAGGGAAAGGGAAAGGGAAAGGGGGGAAAGGGAAAGGGAAAGGGAAAGGGAAAGGGAAAGGGAAAGGGAAAGGGAAAGGGAAAGGGAAAGGGAATGGAAAGGGAAAGGGAAAGGGAAAGGGAAAGAGAAGGGGAAAAGGAAAGGGGAAAGGGAAAGAGAAAGAGAAAGAGAAAAGGAAAGGGAAGGGGAAAGGGAAACGGAACGGGAAAGGGAAAGGGCAGGGGACAGGGGACAGGGGACAGGGGACAGTGGACAGGGGACAGGGGACAGGGGACAGGGGACAGGGACAGGGAAAGGGAAAGGGAAAGGGAAAGTGAAAGTGAAGGGGAAAGGGACAGGAAAATGGAAAGGGAAGGGAAAGGGGAAAGGGAAAGGGCAAGGGAAAGGGAAAAGGAAAGGGAAAGAGGGAAAGGGAAAAGGAAATGGAAAGGATAAGGGAAGGGGAACGAGGGAAAGGGAAAGCGAAAGGGAAAGGGAAAAGGGAAAGGGAAGGGGAAAGGGAGGGTTGATGAGACTCCAGGAAGAGGAGGAGGAGGAGGAGGGAGGAAGGGAGGGATAGAAAGGGAAAGAGAGGGAGAGGGAGAGAAAAGGAGGAAACGGGAGGAGGAGGAGGAGGAGGAGGATGCTGGCAGATCGCGCAGCCTGTGATGGTGGCTGGCCCACTGCCAGCATTCACCTAAGTGGCACGACAAAGCCACACCCATCTACGAATGCAAGTAGGAGAAGAAGGAGGATGAAGAGGGAAGGAGGTTCGTGGGGGAGAGGAGAAACCGAAGGTGCTTGCCAGGACGCGTCTCTGGCCGGCCAGAGCGCCCGAAGGTACAGGCAAGGACGCTTTCCCGGCTGGCTGGAGCGCCCGAAGGTACCTCGGAGGGAGGGAGTGGGGGGACGAGGGAGGAGGAGGGATGAGGAAGCACGAGTCGGAGGAGGAGGAGGAAGAGGAGGAGGAGGAGACATCGCGTTCGACCGTGTCATCGTGACCTCGGAGGGAGGGAAGGGAGGGGGACGAGGCAGGATGAGGGCTGAGGAAGCAAGAGTAGGAGGAGGAGGAGGAGGAGGAGGAGGAGGAGGAGAAAGAGAAATCGCGTTCGACCGTGTCGTGGTGACCGCAATCGGCATGCAGTGAAAGGGGGAGGGGCAATAGGGAGGGTATAGATCCATGGGAAAAGAAGAGGAAGAGGGCTGAGCGGTCCGCTTTCAGTCACTATCAAGATATCCGTCTCTGCGATACAGTCGACCTTTACCATAAGGCCGCGCGATAAGGATGCAAGGGCCTTGTAAGGCCGTTTCAAAGCTGCTCGAGCGGGGCGCCGGCCAACGAAAGTGGCCAAGGATGGGCCCAGGGGGCAAGGATGCAAGGGTAGCCTTGGGAAGGTTGCCTACCCTTGCTATGCGGGTGAACTGCACGTCATTGTCTGAGGCTCGCTCACACTCTCTGCAAATTGGGACAATTCTGAGCAAAAACCTAATCGTGCAAGTCATGGCGCTGACAAGCTGGACCCACAGCCCTCCAGAGAAGGTACCCCCAGAGGAAGCCAACCAGGAAACTGCAAGTCCCACTCCAGCGGCGCTGGGGGTGCAAGCGGCTCTCGTGGCCATGGGTCGCGCCCATCGGGTGCGGCAGAGCTCGCTGCCACTGGGCGGCGAGTGGGGGTGCGCGGAGTGCTGGGGACATGGGCTGCGCCACAGTCTGCGCCGATGAGGTGCGGCTGGGGGGGGGCGGGGGGCGGGGGGCGAAGATTCTGCGCGGCCACAGTAGAAGAAGAAGCAATGTCATAAGCATACATGTTTTGGCGCTCCGCGCCAAAAGTGTATGTTTACGGCGTCTCTTCTTCTTCTTCTTCGACACAGGTCTCGCTCATGGGCTGCGCCATAGCTTGCGCCACGGCTGCGCCTGGGGCTGCCGAGGATGGTGCGTGGCAGCAGGCTGCGCCCATGGGCTGCGGCACAGGCTGTCCCCTTGAGGTGCGCCTGGGGGTGCGAGGGATGCGCGCCCATGAGCTGCGCCGCGAGGTGCGACACTTCTCGGTCGCGGTCGCAGGGCGCAGGGCCCCCGCCCACACGCGTCGCCCTCAGTGTCACATACGCTACACCTCGCAGTATGTATCACACACCTACTAATAATACCCTTATATATGTACCACGCACATACAAAGAAATGTATAGTCGCAGATACAGCTACCCATATAGTTATATAGGCTGCACCGCACAGACTGCAGCCATACGCGTTGTAAAAGTCACTGCTTGGGGCCATCGATCATGTAAATATGGAAGGATTGCGAAATTGATGGGTCCTGCGACGATCCAGGTCCAGATAACAAGCCAGCGCCAGAACGCCGACAGAGAAACCAATCGGCTCACAAAGCGCAGCGCTGCATCGGCAAATAACGATCTTAATTTCAAGCGAATTCTCACACTTCTTGCAAGAAAAGATTCCTCCGCGCTCCGACCTCGGCTCGATCGGCCACGGCGGCCCGAGCTGGCAGGCGCACGTGCTCGTGGAAGCCGACTCTCTGCCAGAGAATGCGCGGCTGCACGGTCGCTATTTGCATCCCCCGGCCTGCTCAGATCAGCCGCCGCCGCAGCCCACCGCCGCACGGGGGCGCCGCGCGGCGCCCTTGGCAGGGCTGCCCCGCTGCTGGGCCTGAGCGGGGCCCATGGCCGGGCTGGCCTGCTGCTGGCCGCCGAGCACCAAGCTCACGTTCTCCTTCCGCCCACCCCAGCAGCAGCACGGCCAGCGCGCGCGAGGAGCGCTCCGGTGCACCGGCGCCGCCTCTGCCCTGGCGAGGACACGCTCCACCTGCTCCAGGAACTCCTCCCGCTCCTGACGAAGCAGTTAGCCAGGGTTCACTAACCAGGTGCAGGTTCATTAGCAACTGACACTCGGTTTCATCGGATTGAACTTAGCACCCAGTGAGCATACCCGGCTAATTGCTTCTTGGGCTCCAGCAGCATCATCTTGCGGTCGATCATGAGCAACCGGACCTTCTGGTCGATGCGGGACAGGGGCCAGTCCCAGCCGCCCCCGCCAGGACGACCTATGTGCACGGCCGACGCCACGTCGTCGTCGGCCAGCTCCGGCACGTAGGGCTCGAGCGAACAGCGGCGACGCCTCGGCTTGTGCGGGGCTGGGCTCCAGCCTTGCTCGGGGGCCAGGTCGTCGTCCCCGCCAACCTCGTAGCCGCCAATGGCCCGTCGGTTCGGGCGCGCCCGCTCGGCGGCGCAGCAGAGCTCTGGAGACATGGAGGCGCCCATCGCCCCAGCGGTTGAGGATGTGAGATCCCCGCCGAGCAAGGGGCTAAAGCATGCCAGACGCGGCAGCCTGCGAAGGTTTCAGCCTTGAGCCAAAATGGCTACGGAGGGCGGCAGAACTCTGACGCCGTGGTCGCGATCCCCATGTTGGCCCCAAGAGCTCCAAGGGGGGCTCCTCCTCCTCCTCCTCCTCCTCCTCCTCCCTCCTCCCTCCCTCCTCCTCCTCCTCTCCTCCTTCTCCTCCTCCCCCTCCCCCCTCCCCCTACCCCCCTCCTCCTCCCTCCCTCCTCCTCCTCCTCCTCCCCTACCCCCCTCCTTCCTCTCCTTCCTCTCTCTCCTCCTCCTCCTCCGCTCTCCTCTCTCTCTCATCATCATCAATCATCATCATCATCATCATCATCATCATCATTCATCATCATCAGCATCATCATACATCATCATCATCATCATATCATCATCATCATCATCATCATCATCATCATCTCATCATCATCATCCATCATCCCTCCTCCCTCCCTACTCCTCCTCCTCTCCTCCTCCTCGCCTCCTCCTCCTCTCCTCCTCCCCCTCCTCCTCCCCCTCCTCCTCCTCCTCCTCCTCCTCCTCCTCCTCCTCCCCCTCCTCCTCAAGAGAACGTCTCTCACAAGCGTTTGGCTCTGCTGTTATATCGAGCCCACCCCCTTCCCGGGAGCCCGCCCCTGCCCCCTCGAAAACTGCCCGCCCCCCTCTCTGGACCCCTCCTCCCGCCTTCGTCGGCGAGCACCGCGGGTCGAACCACCCGACCCAAGGCGAAATCGGCGGCGGCGACGACGACGACGACAACGATGACGACGACGACGACGACGACGACGACCACCACAACGACGACGACGACGACGACGACGACGACGACGACGACGACGACGACGACGACGACGATGGCGACGACGAAGACGACGATTATGATGATGATGACGACGACGACGACCGAGGTTGCGGATTACCCATCTGCGACGAGCCAAATCTAAGCGAATAAGCCCTTTCGCTGGCAACATAGGAACTATGCATTACACGGCCCGTGAGACCTGAATGGGACGAAGCCAGTGCGCATGGAGGAGGAATGGAATACGGGGTGGAAGTACAGACCAGGTGTAGGGAGGGCGATGGAGATACTTTCGGTATGCGTAGAACACCACTCCGATGAACCCCCCCAGGGGCGCAGCGTAGTGACGACAGCTGCGCTGCACGTCTGGCAGCACCCAGCGAGGGCGAGGAAGACGCCCTGCTCTGCGTGAGACACCACTCGGCTGGACTCCCCTGGGGCGCAGCAAAGTGGTGGCAGTTGCGCGAGCCCAGCGATGGCAAGCGGGCCACTCTGATCTGCGTGCACCACCCCGCTGAACCCGCCCTGGGACGGAACAAAGAAGCGTCAGTTCCACGTCCGGCAAAACCCAGGGAGGGCGATGGATACGGTCGGGAACTTTTTCTTAGCGTGTCGCGGCGGCAGCCCCTTCGACACGCTATGCCGTAGAAGCTGACAGCGTCTGCCATTCCGCTCCGCAAGGGTGGAAGATGGGAAAAACTCAAGACGTTGACGCTTGGGGACTGCGACGTTGATAGCGTGTCGCGCCGAGGCGTTGTGGGCCAGGACAAAGGCGCGACACGCTAAGCCAAAATCCATGGCCTTACATCATGTTGATCTGCGCAAGCCGCCATTCCGCCGCCCCCCTGGAGCCCCCAGGGGCGACATCCGTCCGCTGGACCCACCCAGGGGCGCAGGAAAGCGGCAACAGCTTCAGGACGGCAGCACCCAGCGAGATCGACTGGCACACTCTGATACGCGCAGGGCGCCACCCCGATGGACCCCCAAGGGGCGCTGCAAGGCAACGACAGACGCAAGCCTGGCAGCGCCCAGCGAAGGCGAGGGCGATACAGTCATCGTGCGACCATAAGGAACGATGAATAAGACAACGGCGAACCTCGGCCACGCTTAGGTCTCCCCACCAAGATTGAAGACGGTTGCGCGCCTGGCGGCGTCCAGCCAGTTCGCGAGAGCAGGAGACGCCGAGAGCGGCGAGAGGGGAGGAGGAGGAGGAGGAGGAGGAGGAGGAGGAGGAGGAGGAGGAGGAGCAAGCAAGCAAGCAAGCAAGCAAGCAAGCAAGCAAGCAAGCAAGCAAGCAAGCAAGCAAGCAAGCAAGCCTCTCGGATGCTGTTCGAGGTCTCAACATGTGAGAATAAAAATAGCATCTGAGTGGCGGCAAGACCCGAGACTTCCCTCACCAGCCAGCGCTGCTGGTGGGGACACCATCTGTGGCCCTCGATCCGACGAGGAGGAAAGGGAGGAGTAGGAGGAGGAGGAGGAGGAGAAGGAGGAGGAGGAGGAGGAGGGAGGAGGGAGGAGGGAGGAGGGCCGAGGAAGGAGAAAGGATAAAGGAGGGAAGAGGGAGGAGCCCTGGATATCTGGAAATAGCGACTAGGTCGGTGGCTGATGACAGACAGCTACTGGGACCCTAGTCTGGTTGAATTTCCGGCTTCTTGGCGTGCTGTTTGGCCAGCTCAGCGTTGCTGCGAACGTTGGGCCACAAGCCTCGCGAGATTCGAAGTAACGATTCGGTGCGATTACCTTCGACACGCCTGGGAAACTGCTGGAGCAGAGAGCCGAGGAGGCAGAGCGTCCACCAGAGGAAAGAGCCGAGGAGGAGGAGGAGGAAGAGGACCAGTGCAAACCCAAGATGCATGAGCGAAGTCCTCCCGCCAAGCTCTTTTTTTTCACAGGTCCATGCAAGACATTATGATCAGAGCGGGGAGTGCCCGATTGAAAAGCACCTGCATGAGAATATTTCATACTTCCGAAACACACTTACGGGGACTTCAACGCTGCGTATCAACGTGACTGTTGCGCCCTGGCACTCCTACATCGCGTCGGAGCACCACTCCTATGACTTCAACGCCGCGAATCAACGTAGCTGTCGCCTCTTGGCGACCCTAAATCGTCTCAGAACACACTTGCTGGGACTTCAACCCTGCGAATCCTTAGAATTGCTGCAAATCGTCAAGACGAGCGCGCGCGGCGCTAAGGCGAGAACCGAAATTGACAACCACCCGCCATCCTTCCCTGAAGCTGCTGCAAGAGCTTATGTAAAACGAGCGTGCCCCGCGCTGAGGCAAGTGCAGCGTTTTGACAACCACCCGCCATTCATCCTTGAAGCTGCTGCGAACTATTGAGAAGAATGGACGCAGCGCTGAGGCACGAGCCACGTCTTGAAGAGGGCTCGCCCTTCACCCTAGAAGCTGCTGCAAAATGTTTGAAACGAAGGGGCGCGGCGCCAAGGAGGGAGCCACGCTTCAGAGAAGGGCCCGCCCTCAGTCCTCGAAGCTGTTGCAACTTTCAAATTCCAGGATCCTACATGTATGTGCATACACATATGCAGAATCTGTACATGTAAATATAGATATACAGACTATATAATATAATATAATATAATATACTATAATATAATATAATATAATATAATATAATATAATATAATATAATATAATATAATATAGTATAATATAATATAATATAATACCATATAACATAATATAATATAACATGCGATAATATAATATAATAGAATGTAATATAATATAATATAATATACTATAATATAATATAATGTAATATAATATAATATAATATAATATTAAATTGTCTTATATAATGTGTTTTACTATAATATAATATAAGTTAATATATCACAAAAAAATACAATATTATATCATAAATTATAATATAATAGAATATGATGTAGTATGATATACTATTCTGTAATATACTATAATATAACATGATGGATTATAATATAATATAATGAAATAAAATACAGTAAAATAAAATATAATATAATACAATATAAGATAATATAACATGATATACTATGATATATGATAAAATAATAGAATATAATACAATATAGAATAATATAATATCATATAATATGATCTGATGCAATATAATAAATTATGATATAATATAATATAATTCAATCTAATAAAATTAAGTTATATAACATAATATACTATAATATAATATAATATGATATACTATAATAGAATATAATAGGAAATGATATAATATAATATAATATAATATAATATAATATAATAGCACAGAATATAATATAACATAATATAATATAATACAATATATTATAATAAAAAATATAATATAACACCATGTAATATAATATAATATAACAATATCTAATATAACATACTATAATATAATATAAAATGTGTATATATAAATGTATATATGCGTGTGCAATTGTATATGTGATATATACATACAGTAGACCAATAGGGTGTATCTACATAAAGAAAGTGTGAAGTCCCAGGCGAAACGCCCAGACCGCCCGACCGACACGTTTTGGGGGCGCGGCAGAGGGGAGTCGTTCTCTTGCACGGCTGTGCTCTGGGGCTCTGGCCTCTGCCATTCCTCGCCTGGCCCACCCCCTGGCGCCCCCACCCCGCGGCATGGCCTCGGTGCGCAGCCTCATCTGGCCCCCCTGGGCCGCGGAACCCTTTATTGTCGTCGTCCGGCGTCATGTGTCCCCCCTCGTCGTGATGTTTCGTTGTCATTTCCGTCGGTATTTTCGTAACTGTTTTCCCCCCTTTGAACCTTTTATTTTCGTCGTTATTTTCGTGGTTCGTCGTTTTCGCCATTCGTCGTCCCCCTGGCCCCCCCCCCGCTTCCCCCTGGCGTGGCCTCGGCCTCCTCCATTGGCCTCCTCCGTGGCCTGACCTCCCTGGGCCCTGCGCCGCCCCCTCTGGCATCTCCTTGGCCTCCCAGGGCAGCCCCCCCAGGGCTGCGGAACCCTTGCTTTTCGTCGTTCGTCGTCGTTCGCCCTCCTCCCCTGGCCCCACCCTGACCCCCGACTGCCCCCCTCTGGCCTCCCCCGGGCCTGGTCTCCCTGAGCTCCGCGCCGCCCCATCTGGCATCCCACGCGCCTCCCAGGGCAGCCCCCCTGGGGCCGCCTCCCCGTGACCTCCCAGGGCAGCGACCCTGGGCCGCGGGACCCTTTAAATTCTCTCGCACAGGTGTGCTCTACAGCTCGGGGCCCTCTATGTTCGTCGTCGCTCGCTCGCACGTTCGCTCGTCGCCCCGCCAAGGCCCCCCCCCCTGCCCGTGCCTCTCCACGATGGTCATATTGGCCCTATGAGAATAGCAGGATGGTCCTAAGATGCCCGCCCTCCTGGCCCTCGCCCTCCCTCGCGCAAGAGCCAGGTCACGCGTGCCACTTAGTCAGAAGGAGAAAAGGTGGATGGATGGATGGATGGATGGATGGAGGGAGGGAGGGAGGGAGGGAGGGAGGGATGGACGGATGGATGGATGGAGGGATGGATAGATGGATCGATGGATAGATAGAGGATGCATGCATAGATGCATGGATGATGATGATGATGATGATGATGATGATGATGATGATGATGATGATGATGATGATGATGATGATGATGACGACGAGGAGGAGGAGGAGGAGGAGGAGGAGGAGGCGGAGGAGGACGAGGAGGCCAAGGGAGGCCAAGGAAGAGGAGAAGGGGGCGGAGGAGGAGGAACTGAAACCAGAGGAGGAGGAGAGAGGAGGAGGAGGAGGAGGAGGAGGAGCAGGATGACGAGGAGGCCGAGGGAGGAGGAAGGAGAAGGTGGAGGAGGCAGAGGGAGGAGGAGGTAGAGGAGGTAGAGGTGGACAGCTCCCGAGGAGGGAGAGTTGGAGGCCGAGGAGGCCGCGACGGAGGCCGCGACGGAGGCCGAGGAGGCCAGGGGACAGCTCCCCGTGGAGGCCTCCCGGGCCGAGGAGGCCGCAGGAGGCCGCGACGCAGGCCGCAGAGGAGGGCCTCTAGCAGGAGGCCGAGGAGGGCCCGGCCTCTGGCCGCGGCGGCGCGGGCGGCGCCGCCCCGCGGCGGGCGGGCGCCGGCGGCGGCCGCGGCAGGCGGCGCGGCGGCCGCCGCGGCGGCGGCCGCGGCGGGCGCCTGGCGGCGCCGCAGGGGCGGGGGCCTCGCCCTCGAGGGGCCCAGGCCGCCTCCCCCCGAGCGATGTGAGCCCCACCCTCCCCCCACAGAAAGCGTGGAGGGTAGGGGTCCCCCCTGCGCCTCTCCCCCCCAGGAGGAGGAGGAGGAGGAGGAGGAGGAGGAGGAGGAGGAGGAGGAGGAGGAGGAGGAGGAGGAGGAGGAGGGTAGTGTCCGCACGCGGCTCCCTAACAAACGAATGCCACCCCGCCTGCGGCCCCGCGGGGCTCAGCGTATGCCAGGGACTCTGGCGCGAGCGTGCGCGTGGTGTGCGCCAGGGGCTCCGAAAAAGGGCCGCAGCGCAACATGGGGGTGCCGCAGGTAGGGTGGTGTCGTGTGTGTGTTTTGGGTAGAGCAACGTGAGAAAAACACGACGGGAGACTTTGTGCCAGTTTCGGCCTCTAAGGGCCATCGCCCGCCCCAGGACCGTGAAAAGACGGCTGGGAATAAGAAACAGGTCCCTGGGAAGGGGTCGAGACATCTGGGGATCGAGGTCGTGAAGAAAACACGACGTCAGGGGTCTGTGGATCTAGGTGAGCAGGCCATGACAAAAGAAGGACGGAAAATGCCTGGAGTGGCCGGGGGTCGAGGGATCGACGGAGCTCTGGAGGAGAAGGGGGGGAGGAGGCAGTGCGTCAACGAGAGAAGAGAATCGAGGAGGACGAGGGCCAGTGTAAATTGTTGTACAGTTCAAAGCCGTGGAACGGTTGCACAGTTCAAGCCTCAGGATCACAAGTGGTGAGAAGTCTCCAGAGAAACACCCGACCCGCCCCCGACGTCTGGGAGTGCGGCAGGGAGGAATTATCTCCAAGGAACAAGGGATAGGAGGATGAGGAGGAGGAGGAGGAGGAGGATCAGTGCAAACCAAGATTCATCGACGATGTTCCAAGAAACCCTCCCTCAAAGTTCCCTCTCCACAGGTCAGGTTCCTACAATAATTGTTTTCATTGAGGGGAGTGACCCATTGGACGACAACGGTCATAATCAAACCACAGTCACTGGGACGTGCACGCCACGAATCAACGTGACTGTTGCGCCCTGCTCATACATTGTGCCAGAAAACCATTCCTGGCACTTCAGCGCTGCGAATGTAAATACCCTGAATCGTGCCACAATCCCATTCCTGGGACTTCAACCGTGCGAATCCTTGAAAACTGCTGCAAACGTATAGGGAAGAAGGATGGAGGAAAAAGAGGAGGAGGAGGAGGCGGCCGAGGAGGAGGAGGAGGAAGAGGAGGAGGAGGAGGAGGAGAAGGAGGAAAAGGAGGGGGTGAAGGAGGAGGAAGAGGACAGCTCCCCGAAGAGGAGGAGGACGACGAGTTGGCGGCCAGAGCACCAACGAAGCCCCCGCCACCGCTCCAGAAACCTGGGCCCCCGGCGCCGCCACCGGGAGCGCCCCGCAGGGCAGAGCCGGGAGCGCTTCGACGGCCGCAGAAAGCGAGGGCGGCGGATGGGAGGGAGGGGGAGGATCAGTTCGGGTCAGACGAGAAGGGGGAGATACAGTCAACCCGTGTAGTAAGGATGCGCGGTAAGGACGCAAGGGCCTTGGAAGGCCATGTCGACGCTTTGCGGGCGGGGAGCGGACAGCGCAAGCGGCCAGGGATGGACCGAGGAGGCAAGGATGCAAAGGCACCCTTGGGAAGGGTGCCCAACTTTACTAGGCGGGTTGACTGCAGCAGAGGGGGGGGACGAATCAGCTCACGTCGCTGGTTTTCCCTGGCGCATCCCGGCGCCAGAGGCGCCAATGGCTTCTCGAGGCAAGGGGCCAAGCCGCAGGGTACCGAGACCAGCTGCACGCAGCAGATTTCGTAACGCCTCCTCCTCCTCCTTCCCCTGCTTCCGCTCCTCCTCCTCCGCTCCTTCTTCCTAATCCTCCTCCCCTGCCTCCTCCTCCTCCTCCTCCCCTCCTCGCCTCTCTCCTCCTCCTCTTCCTCCTCCTCCTCCTCCTCCTCCTCCTCCTCCTCCTCCTCCTCCTCCTCCTCCTCCTCCTCGCCACTTCGCCCAACCCGATCAGTCAGCACCAAATCGGGAAATCGGGTCGCATCGAAATGTGCGTCGGAAGCGGGGCGCCTCAGCACGGAATCGCAGTCGAGCCGCATCGGCCGCGCCAGGATGCACGGCAACGCGTGCAAGCGTCGGGCCGCGTCGGATCGTCGAATATTGGATGAGGAGGAGGAGGAGGAGGAGGAGGAGGAGGAGGGGAGGAGGAGGAGGAGGAGGAGAGGAGGAGGAGGAGGAGGGAGGAGGAGGGGGAGGGGGAGGGGGAGGGGGAGGGGGAGGAGGGGAGGAGGAGGAGGAGGAGGAGGAGGAGGAGGAGGGGGAGGAGGAGGAGGAGGGGGAGGAGGAGGGAGCAGGAGGAGGAGAAGGAGGAGGAGGAGAAGGATCGGGCTGGCGAGACTCGATATCGGATCGGATCGATCGGATCGAGGTGGACCATGGAGGGGGGGGCGAGCGCACACGCGGTGCAGTCTGTCGAAGGCGACCGTGAGCAGTCGGCCAACGAAGACGAAGACGACGACGACGACGACGACGACGGACCCTCAGGTTTGGGCGTCGCCAAAAAATCGCCACTGCCGATCTTTTCACGTTTGCGGCCTCTGGAAGCCGTTCCCTGACCCCGGGGCCCTCAAAAACGAAAACGACTCAGAATGAAAATCCGCCGACCCTGTCGGCGTGCGTGAGGGGCTTATCCGTTCGCGTCGTGTTTTCTTTCCTGCTCGACTTTCTCTAGCCGCATCCAGCTTCCACTCACCGTTCTCCCGCTCTCCGTCAGCAGAGTCCTCTTCCTTGCACATGCCGCGCCAAGCAATTGATTGAACATCGTCAAAACTTCGAAGGGAAGCCCCTTCCCTTTTCACTTCCACGGTGCGGGGGGGTGGGGACCCGGGGGGGTCCCGGGGGGGGACCTGGGACCCCCCCATCCGACTCCCCCAGCAGCCTTCGAGAAAGCCCGGAGGGCGTCGCGAGGAGGTTTTCGTCCTCATCCTCCTTCTCCTCCTCCTCCTCCTCCTCCTCCTCCTCCTCCTCCTCATCCTCCTCCTGCTCGTCCTCCTCCTCCTTCTCTTCCTCCTACTCATCATCACCATCCTCCTTGTCCTCTTCTCCTACTCCTGCTCCTTCTCACCTCCTCCACCTCCTCCTCCTCCTCCTTTCCTCCTCCTCTCCTCCTCCTCCTCCCTCCTCCTCCCCCCCTCCTCCTCCTCCCCTCGTCCTCGTGTCGTCCCTGTCCCCTCCTCCTCCTCGTCCTTCCTCCCCTTCTTCCTCCTCCTCCTCATCTCCTCCTCTCCTCCTCCTCCTCCTCCTCCTCCTCCTCCTCCTCCTCCTCCTTCGCTTCCTCCTCCCCCTCGTAGCCCCTTCGATCAGGGTCGGCGGCACGGGCCGTCAGGCCGCTCCAATACGGCCCTGGGAGACATGTCGAGATACTCAGGGGCCCACGTCGCAAAAAACTGCGCAGAAGGTGGTGGAGGAGTCGGAGGGGAGGGAAGGTCCCCGGGAGCTCTCTGGGGCTGCGTTCTGCCCAGGATTCGAAACAAGGATTCAGCCGTGGCGACAGCGCCTCCAGGAACGGCGACGACGACCCCAGACATCCGACGATGAGACTTTTTCGCTGCGCGGCCCCCGAAGACCCGACTCCTTCCCCGGAGGTCAGGATTCCGCCACGGAGCCATGTTTGATAGTCTGGGGTACGATGCCGGGCCCAGGAAGCCGAAGCCGAGGAGAACGACGCCCAGATTGCAAGACTCAGAAATCGGCGGCGGCCACGCAGGGGTGGCGCGAGGGCCAGGAATTAGATCGGGCATGTCCTCCTACAGGCGGATCTGGGAGGGAAAAAAATATGCTTGCGCTATTCTTGAATATTCCTCCTGTAGGGGGACTTGCCCGACTTACGCCTACGTCGGGCCTGTCCCTCTGCAGGGGGAACATTCAAAATTAGTCCAAAAATAGTCGGGGGACTATTTTTGGAGTACTTTTGAGCATTTTCGGAATGTTGTTTGAAAATTCTTCATTTTTCGCCTAAAATCTCCCTGTGGGGGGACAGGCCCGACCTAAACTTCAGCCAAGAAGGCAGGCGGCCCTCTCAGAAGCCCGCCCGGCTGCGGAGAGGCCTTCGCGGAAGCCTCCGGGGATCCCTCGCAGGAGAGGCCCCCGCCCTTCCCTCGGAAGCCCCCGCCGCGCACCTCAGAAGGCTGCCCCGCTCGCGCCGGGGCCCCCCTGGCAGGCGCTTGTTTGTGTATGTCCTGGGCTTCGACGTTTGGCCGACGGGTGGGAGAGGTCCTCTCCCAGCCTTCGCGCCAGCCCCCTCAGCAGGCGTTCTTATGTCCTGGGCTTCGACACCTGGCCGCCCAATAACCCCCCCTCCTCTCCGAGAGGAGGGGCGGCTGGGTCTGCGCCCGTGATCCGTCGATCTGCCTCTGCCAGTCGCGCAGAAGCAGACTGGGGCAGGGGGTCCTGAGACCAGCAACCACAAGCAGCCGCCCAGAACAGCCAAGATATCTGATCTGTGGGGGGCGTGGCGGGGGGCCGGAGCCCGCGCGCGATCGGTGAAACCAGAAGTATAAAAAGCCCACCTGCGAGCGCCGCCAATCAGATCGTCCGAGATCTGGGACCCCACCCTCCCGGCGGCGCCCAGCCGCTTGGCCGGTTGCTGCCGCCGTCCCCGCCCGGCCGCGGCAGTCTCGCCTGGCGCCACCCCCGCTCGCCGCCGCCGCCGTCGCCCGCCGTCGCGCGTCGCCGCCGCGCGTCGCCGCCTCCGCCCCAGACAGCAGGCGCCTTCGAACACAGTCGAGGCGGTCGGCTTGCCTCCACTCTTGGCCTCTGGGGGCCGGCTTCGGGCCTCGGGCGCGCGGAGGAGCGGCCCAGGGTGGAACACTGGCCCAGGGGAAGGGGTCGATGAGGTATGGGGGCCCACGCGTGCAAAAAAAACATGAAGAAATAAACAATAGTACGAGTAGTAGCAGTAATAATAACTAAAAATGAAAAACCCAAAAAAAAAAAAAATCAAAAAGCACGCCGGATGTCTGGGGCCGTCGCCGTCGCCACCGCCCTCCTCGTCGCCGTCGTCGTTAGTCCTCGTCGTCGCCACGGCCGCCGTCGCCGTCGCCGTGGCCGCCGTCGTCGCCGTCAGTCCTCGTCGTCAGTCTTGGGCCCAAGGGCAGCGCAGCGGCGGATCGGAGGTCCGCGGCCCAGAGTCGGCGGGCCGTGCTCGCGTGGGCCGCAGAGGAGTACCCCCAGCCAAGCAGCAGTGCTCGGACCCCGAGCCGTGTGCCTCGAGCCCCGAGCGCAGGGCGAAGGTTCGAGGATCGAGGCTCGAGGAGTGCAGCCAGCGGACGCTTTGGGCCCCCGTTTGGGGCCTGCGGGTACCTCTGGAGGCCTCCGATGGGGTCCTCTGAAGCGGAGACCTCCGGATATGCAAGACGGGAGAAGGGGGAGGAGGAAGAGGAGGAGGAGGAGGAGGAGGAGGAGGAGGAGGAGGAGAAGAAGCCGACGCGAAACAGCCGAGCTCTGGCGTGGGGTCAGTGCCAGCGCAGTGCGACGGCCATGCCCTGGGCGCGGTGGGGAGGCGCTTCGTGGGAGTGGGATCGCCGTTCGATGACGGTACGCAGGAAGAGCCGACGCGGAGGCAGGAGGAGAAGAGCGCGCTCAACCTGGAGAACGCCCAGAGGGGGAGGCCCGCGGACGGCCCTATCAACAGAAAGCGGACGGGGCCCCAGAGAGGCCATCAAGGCCAAGGACTCCACACGGAGTCGATGCACGCCGTCATGCTGGCCGCAAGTGCATTCAAAAAGAACAACACCACGAAACTGCGAAGAACGCGCCACGGCCTCCGCCTCACTCCCCCCCTCCTCCTCCTCATCCTCCTCCTCCACCTCCACCTCCTCCTCCTCCAACACCTCCTCCTCCCCCTCCTCCTACTCCTTCCCCTCCTCGTCGTCCTCCTCCGCCTCCTCCTGCTCCTGTCTCCTGCTACCTTCTGATGGTTATAATGATGATGACGATGCTGCTGCCGTGATCATCATCATCATCATCATCATCATCATCATCATCATCATCATCATCATCATCATCACGATCAGCATCAACACCATCATCATCATCAGCAGCAGCATCATCATCACTATCAGCATCAGCATCAACATCATCAGCGTCATCATCATCACCAGCACCATCATCACCATCATCACCAACAGCCGCATCATCATTATCGTCGTCGTAATCAGCAGCATTATCAGCAGCAGCACCCTCATCATCATTACCATCATATCCTCCTTCTCCGCATTCTCTTCATCATCCTCCTCATCATCAGCAGCATTAGCATGATCACCGTCAGCAGCAGCAGCAGCGTCCGCATCAGCATCCCATCATCAAAAGCAGCATCAGTACCATCATATCATCGTCATCATCATCAGCAGCATCAGCATCAGCATCAGCATTATCAGCATCATCAGCATCATCACCACCGTCATCATAGTACTGGTCATCATCATCATCCCTCGTTCCCCCGCCTTATCCTCCTGCTTATCTACCTCCTTCATCGGACTCCACCACACATCGTCCTCCTCCCCATCAGTATTCTCGTTGTCCTCCTCCTCGTCCTTTACCTCATCCCCCGCCTCCGCCTTCGGAGACATCCTCACCATGTATGATCTTGATGCTTTTAAAAGCATGCAGAATCTTGACGGATAGACGGCGGGTCGCTTTCAAAGTGTGGCTCTCGTCTTCGGGCCGCGCATTTTAGACTTTAAGAAATTGCAATGGTTTCGAAGATTGCGGGCAGGCGGTTTTCAAAATGCGGCTCCCGACCTAGCGCAGCGCACATTCGCCTGAAAGCATCGCAAGTGTTTCACGTATTGAGGGCGAGCCGTATTCAAAGTGTGGCTCTCGCCTTAGCGCCGCGCACACCCGTCTTGAACAGTTGCAATAACTTCACGGATGAAGGACGACTGCATTTCGAAATGCGGCTCGCGCCTTCGCGGCGCGCACATGGCGTTTGTTCTTCTCGCATGGCTAACGCAGCAGAAACGGTGTTCTGGAACGGTTCAGACCTGTCAAGGCGCAACAGTTGCGTTGAGTCGCGGTGCTGCAGCCCCAAGAGTGGCTTCCTGGCGCGATTCGGGACCGTGGTGAAGCCGCGACAGTCAGGCTGATCCGTGGCGTTGGGGACCCGAGAATGGTGTTCTGGCACGCTTCGGGATCTTCAAATGGTTGTCTCCCAACGGGGCACTTCCCTCAGTGGAAGTGCACCCCTGCAGGCACCTGTGAAGAGGGAGCTTGGAGGGAGAATGTCTTCCAACATCGTAAATGAGTATTGGGCTGTCCTCCTCCTCGTCCTCCTCTTCCTCCTCCTCTTCCACCTCCTCCTCGTCCACCTCCTCCTCCTCCTCCGCCTCACATGCCTTCCCCGTCTCCAACTCCTCCTCCTCCTCCTCCTCCTCCTCCTCCTCCTCCTCCTCCTCCTCATCCTCCTCCTCCTCCTTCTCCGCCTCCTCCTGGGCCTCCTTTCCGCCTCCTCCGCCTTCTCCGCCTCCCCCTGCGCCTACTCACTACCCCATGCCACTCACTCCCCACTGTCCCCCTTTCTGGCTCCACATCCCCCCCTTCATCCTCATCACATCTGGCAGCAACATCGTCATCGTCCGCGTTATCACCGTCATTGCCCGTATCATCCGCCTCAACATCAAAATCCAAATTGCCAGTAACAGCATCACCATCATCATCATCAGCATCATCATCATCATCATCATCATCAGCATCGTCATCATCAGCATCATCAATCAACATCATCATCATCATCATCAGCATCATCATCATCAGCAGCATCGTCATCATCAGCATCATCATCAACATCATCATCATCAGAATCATCATCATCGGCAGCATCATCAGCCTCATCAGCATCATCAGCAGCAGCAGGAGCGCCCCTCATCCGCCTCCTCCTCCTCCTCCTCATCATCATCATCATCATCATCATCAGCAGCAGCGCGTCGTCGTCGTCATCGTGACCATCAGCAGCGTCCTCATCATCAAGATTAACAGCAGCAGCCACATCGTCAGCCACGTCATCATCAGCAGCAACATCGCCACCCCCAACAGAACCAGCAGCATCATCAGCACAAGCATCACCACCATCTTCATCATCAACATCACCAGCAGCAGCAGCATCACAATCATCATGATCATCATCGTCATCATCAGCAGCATCAACATCTGCATCATCATCATCATCATCATCATCATCATCATCATCATCAGCTTCATAATTGTCGTCATCACCATCATCATCACCAATACCACCACTACAATCGCCATGAATACCAACAGCGACAACAGCAACATCAGCATCATCAACCTAATGATCATCAGCATCACCATCACCGTCATCCTCTTCATAATCATCAGCATCATCGTCGTCATCAGCATCGTCATCATCAGCAGCACCATCGTCAACATTATCGTCAGCATCAGCAGCATCACCGTCATCATCCGCACCATAAACCTCAACATCATCATCGTCATCATCGTCCACCATCATCCTCGCTATCGTCATGATGCCATCATCAGCAGCAACGGCATCATCGTCAGCATCATCATGGGCAGCGAAAGCGCCACCTCTCACCATCATCAGCATCAGCATCATAATCGTCATCGGCTTCTTCATCATCATCATCATCATCATCATCATCATCATCATCATCATCATCGTCATCATCATCAGCAGCAGCAGCATCAGCATCATCATCGTCAGCATCATCAGTATCATAATGATCATCAGCATCGTCGTCATCTTCATCATCCTGGTCATCAGCATCATCATCATCATCACCATCATCAGCATCATCATCAGCATCAGCATCATCATCATCACCAGCATCAGCATCATCGTCGTCATCAGCATCATCAGTATCATCATCATCATCATCATCATCATCATCATCATCATCATCATCATCATCATCATCATCATCCCCATCATCAGCACCACCATGAGCATCAAAATCATCAACCACACCATTATTACCATCGGAATCATCATCTGCATCAGCATCATCAGCATCAACAGCAACGTCGCCGTCATCGGCATCATCATCGTCATCGTCATCGTCATCGTCATTAGTATCATCATCAGCATCATCATCAGCATCAGTATCGTCATTGACATCGTCATCGTAATCGTCGTCATCATCATCGTCATCATCATCATCAGCATCATCATCAGCATCTGCATCATCAGCAACAACATCGTCAGCATTATCATCATCATCCTAGTCATCATCAGCAGCATCATAGATTTCATCATCAGCATCACCATCATCATCCTAATCATCATCATCAGCAGCATCATCATCATCAACATCATCATCATCATCATCATCATCATCATCATCATCATCATCATCGACCCCCTCCTTCTCATACTCCCTCCCCCTGCCGCCCCGCCAGCTCTTCGGCGGTCAGCGGATTCAGGATGGACCCCTTCTGCGGCTCCGCTGGCTCCTGCGCCTTCGACCCTGTCGCCTTGCCTCAGGGGGTAGATCAACGAGCAGGGCGGCCACTCCGATCGTGTTCAGTCCCCCTATCCCTCTTCCTCGTCCCCCTCTGTCTCCTACCGATGTCATGGGGCCTGCAAACGGAAACTGTCGGCTGAAGTAAGACGGGAAATATGTTTTGATTAACACGCTGGAGGTATGATCCCCTACTCCCCTCCTCTATCTCTTCCTCCTCCTTCTCCTCCTCCTCCTCCTGATCCTCTTCCATTAACCCTTTTACCACGATCCAGCCAGACGATGAAAGCACGTGGATGCAGTCGCTGTTCGTCAGCATCGGGCTGGCGCTTCGTCCCTTGCGGGATACGTCCGAGCAAAACCGACTGCTGACGACGTGCATGCAGAATGGTAGGAAGGTACTGCCCCATCACATCTGCAAGAAGTCAAGGAGTCATCATGGAAAACAACATGTCCTGGCCCTCCACGCCTCCCAGACCTCCCGCCTGCTGTCCGGGCGGACAGTGCCCCAGAGCGGTGACGCGGCTGGCTCGGATTGCGATCGCAGCTCTATCCCGCTTCCCCTCCTCCGCTCCTCTTCCCGGCCTTTCCCCCTCTCCAGGACACTTCCCCCTGGCCTACCCCCCCCCCAACCCCAAAACTCCGCACGTCTGCCGCCCGGGTGGCGGCTTCAGCTCGGGGGACTGCACAGCCCGATCCGGGCGTCGCGCCGGCGAGCAGGTGGGCCTCCCCCCTCTGGCCAAAAGCCGCAGCCACGCCCTGCCGACCGGGCGGAACACCCGCGGGGGGAAGGAGGCCGGGCTGCACGGGGGGCCTCGGCCGCTCTCCGCCACGAGGTCGCCGGACCAGCGCTGCTGCTTCTCCTGCCCCCAGGAGCTCGGGCGGGCGGAGTGCTAAAGCTCGAGCAGCGCAAGGCCCAGGCATCTGGTGCCCCGAACATGAAGGGAATCCAGGGAGCTGGTCTGTTGCCATGTTCGGCTTGTGAGCACCAGAGGCGCCCCAAAAGCGCCACAAGAGAGCCCACGGGAAGAATTCTCAGAATCAGGTCGGGGGGGCCGAATTTGGGAACCCCCTTTTTCCATGGCTGGCCTCCAAGATGGCTCCAGGAGGGCCCCCACGGCCCGCATCGATCTGAAAGCCCCAGGAGGGCCTCGATCTGAAAGCATACGGTCAACTCTTGCATAGCGTATCGCGGCGGCGGCCCCGGCGACTAGCTATGCCCTACGAGCGGGTAGCGTGTTGCTCTGCTCCGCGGGGCGGAAAGCTGGAAGAGGCTCGGAGCGCTCACGCTTCGGAATTGGGAAGTGGTCAGAGTGTCGCGCCGAGGCGTGGTGGGCCAAAACTGGCGGCGCAACACGCGAAGCAGCTTCCCTGGCTTTCGGGTCAGCACTCGGGTCTCCGGCCGGCCGATCTGGGCGATCCGGGCACGTCCGGAGAGCCCCCGGCGAGGCGCAGCACCTGGAACGCCTCCCGAGGCTGGGAGACTGCCGAGCACCGACGAAAGCCCTCGAAATCCTCGACCGTAATCGACGCAAGCTGCACCACGGCACCGAAGGGCCCGGGGCGGGCACGGGGGGTTGGCGGAGCCCCCGGTGCGGACGAGCAGAGGCCGCAGCGCCGCGGCGGTCCCGCTTGAAGAGCTTGATCTCGAGCCGCCGCTTCGACTCGCGCCCCCGGAGCCTGGCCAGGAGCCCGCGGCCAGGCGCCCGCGGCCCCCGTCGGTCGTCGTCGTCGTCGTCGTCGTCGTCGTCGTCGTCGTCGTCGTCGTCGTCGTCGTCGTCGTCGTCGCCGTCGTCGTCGCCGTCGTCGTCGTCGTCATCGACGTCGTCGTCGTCGTCGTCGTCGCCGTCGTCGTCGGCGGCGGCAGCGGCGGTGGCGAGGGCAGCGGCGGTGGCGGCGGCGTCGGCGTCGGCGTCGGCGTCGGCGTCGGCGTCGGCGTCAGCGCTTGGGCTGGTGGCGGTTGTGCCAGTGGTCGTGCTGGTTGCGGTTGTGCTGGTGGTTGTGCTGGCGGTTGTGCCATTAGTCGTGCTGGTTGTGGTTGTGCTGGTGGTGGTTGTGCTGGTTGTTGTGCTTGTGATTGTGCTGGTGGTGGTTCTGCTGGTGGTGATTAGGCCAGTGGTTGTGCTGTTGGTTGTACGGGTGGTTGCGCTGGTGGTGGTTGTGCTGGTGATTGTGCTGGTGGTGGTTGTGCTGGTTGTGCTGGTGGTTGCTGTGCTGGTGGTTGTGGTGGTTGTGCTGGTGGCGGTTGTGGTGGTTGTGCTGGTGGTTGCTGTGCTGGTGGTTGTGGTGATTGTGCTGGTGGTGGTTGTGCAGCTGGTGGTGGTTGTATTGGTGGTTGTGCAGCTGGTGGATGTGCTGGTGGTTATGAGAGACCATGGTCATCATCAATACGACCACGTCATCATCATCAGCATCATCACCATCACCATCATCATCACCATCATCAGCATCACCTGCATCATCATCAGCATCATCATACTAATCATCATCGATATCATCATAAGCATCTTCATCGCCACCATCATCATCATTACCAGCATCATCGCCATCATCATCATCATCATCATCATCATCATCATCATCATCATCATCATCATCATCATCATCATGCTCATTGCCATCATCATCGTCGTCATCATCATCAGCAGCATTACCAGCATCGACACCATCGCCCTCCGCCCCACCTTCTACCTTGTATTTCTACTCCAGTCCCTCCCTTCCGCCTCCTCCTCCTCCTCCTGACACTCCTGCCAGCATACACCAGCCGATCCAGTTGGTTGTGCTGGTGGTTGTACTGGTGGTTGTGCTGGTGGTGGTTGCGCTGGTGGTTGTGCTGGTGGTTGTGCTGGTGGTTGCGTTGGTAGTGGTTGTGCTGGTGATTGTGCTGGGGGTGGTTGTGCTGGTGGTTGTGCTGGTGGTTGTGATGGTGGTTGTGGTGGTTATGCTGGTGCTTGTGCTGGTGGTGGTTGAGCTGGTGATTGTGTTGATGAGTGTGCTGGTGGTGGTTGTGTTTGTAGCTGTTGTGCTCGTGGTTGTGCTGGTGGTTGTGCGGGTGGTTGTGCGGGTGGTTGATGTGCCAGTGATTGTGCTGGTGGCTGTGCTGGTGATGGTTCTGCTGGTTGTGCTGGTGGTGGTTGCGCTGGTGGTTGCAGCTGTTGGTTGTGCTGGTGGTGGTAGTGGTGGTGGTGATGCTACTGATTGTGCTGGTAGTGGCTGTGCTGATTGTGCTTGGGCTAATGGTTGTTCTGGTGCTGGTGATGCCGCACGAAGCCTCCCTGAGAGCATCGTCATTATCAACTCCTCCACGTCATCACCATCAGTAGCATCAGCATCAGTAGCAGCAGCAGCAGCAGCAGTATCAGCATCATCGTCATCAGCATCAGCATCATCAGCATCAGCATCACCATCATCACCGTCATCATCAGCATCATCGTCATCGTCCTCGGTATCGTCATCATCATCATCATCAGCAGCAGCATCATCATCAGCATCATCAGCAGCATCAGCATCATCAGCATCAGCATCAGCGTCATCATCAGCATCATCAGCAGCATCGTCATCAGCGTCATCATCTGCATCAGCATCATCAGCAGCATCGTCATCATCGCCGCCACCATCGTCGTCATCATCCCCATCATTGCCGATCCTCTGACCTTCAGCCTCTTCTACCTCCCCTGTCCTCCCCGCCCGCCTCCTCCCCCCCTGCTCATGACACGTCTGCCAGCATCAACAAGCTGAACCAGCTGGTTGTGCTGGTGGTTGTGCTGGTGGTTCTGCTGGTGGTGGTTGTGCTGGTGGTTGTGCTGGTGGTTGTGCTGGGGTTGTGCTGGTTGTGGTTATGCTGGTGGTTGTGCTTGCGGTTGTGCTGGCGGTGGTTGTGTTTGTGGTGGTTGTATTGGTGGTTGTGCTGGTGGTTGTGCTGGGTGGTCGTGCTGGGTGGTCGTGCAGCAACGAATTCTCAAATCCTTCCAATGGGTCAAGAACAACTAGCACCAACACCCAGCACGACCACCCAGCACGACCACCCAGCACGACCACCAGGACGACCATCCAGCACGACCACCCAGCAAGACCAAGCAGCAAGACCACCCAGCACGGCCACCCAGCAGGACCCCCCAGCACGACTACCCAGCACGCCCACCCAGCACGCCCACCCAGCCCGACCACCCAGGCCGACCAGGCCGCACGACCACCCAGCCCGACTAACCAGCACGACCAGCAGCAGGACCACCAAGCACGACCACTCGCACGACGAACCAGCATGACCACCCAACAGGATCGACCAGCACGACCACCAGCACGACCACCCAGCACGACCACAACAACAACATCAAAACCGTTTGACGATCGCTCGAGGGGGCCGCGGGCAGTCGTGCTGGATGGTCGTGCTGGTAATCCTTGACTGGGATGTCCTGCTTGGTGGCCTTGCTGCTTGGTCTTGCTGTGTGGTCGTGCTGGGTGGTCGCCCTGGGTGGTCGTGCTGGGTGGTCGTGCCTGGTAGTCGTGCTTGTGGTCCTGCTGCGTGGTCGTGCTGCGTGGTCGTGCTGGGTGGCCGTGCTGTCTTTTGACGCAGGACCCATCTCGGCCCGCACTGCTCTCACCTGGGCCTTAACCACTACACTCGCGGGCCCCATGGCGCGAGCCAGCCGTGCCCGTAGATGAACTTCGGAGTAAATTCATCCCGCCGCGGGCGCTGGGGAGGAAAAGCGCAGCAACGAAATCTCGAGTCCTTCGAAGGAGTCGTCTGCCTGCGGAGCCTGCGTCTACAACACAACTGGGGGTTTCATGCGCGTTCGCGGGGTCCCCGGGCCGAAACAACTCACGGAAAAATGGCGGCGGGAGGCGGGATGAATTCACTCCAGCATTAATCCACGGGCACGGCTGAGCCGCGCCCTGGGACTCCGCAAGTTTACTCTGGAGTGAATTCACGGCCAAAGCCGCTGCGGGATGAATTCACTCCGGAATTCATCTACGGGCACGGCTGGTTTGGGACCCGCGAGCGTACTGATTCAAGCCCGCGAGTTCACTCCGGAGTGAATTCACGGGCAAGGCCGCGGCGTAATGAATTTACTGCGGAATCATTTCACGGGCACAGCTGGTTCGCGCCCTGGGACCCGCGAGCGTACTGATTCAGGCCCAGGCGAGAGTAGTGCGAGCCGACATGGGACCCGCGGATTAACTCCAGAGTAAAACTCACGGTCCAGGCTGCCTGGTGAAGTTCTGCGGCGCGGCGTGGCCTTATTCCGGAGTTAGTTCAGGACCCAGGCGGATCTACTGCCAACCTTGCCACGGATTAACTCTGGGGTTAATCTCGAAGTGAAGCCCGTCGGAAGGTCATCAGTGGAGTGGATTTACTCTGGCGTTCATCCGTGGCAAGGTTGGCAGTAGATCCACGACAGAGAAAGATGTTCTTCGGAGTTACTTATTTTGAAAACTCCTGGATTGATCTTTTTGGGGTGAAGGGTGGAGGGGGATGAGCGGGAAAGCAGCGAGGGACGGAGGGATGAACAGGAGAGCCGAAGACCACCATAGATATGAACTGTTGGAGGTCCGCGCCAGCTTCTGGAGACGGCGCTCGAAACCCCTGCCCCTGGAGTTCGGAGCGCGCCTGGGGCGGCGCCAGAGGCGCTGCCAGCGGGGCCCTAGCGCCGACCCCAGAAGTCCGCACAGACCTCCGAAAGCTACTATGTTGTGTGGTTCTCCTTTCGACGGAAGGAGGAAATCGGAGGAGGAAAGGGAACCAACGCGGGAGCAGGATGGGAGGATGGGAGGGAGGAGGAGATAGGAGAAGAGGCGAAAAGAGAGGAGGAGGGAGGAGGAAGGAGGAGAAGGAGGAGGAAAAGG